GGGCAAGGATGAAGTAATAATTTACGATAGAAGAAGCATTGTACGAATGGAAATCGTTTTACTGTGGTCGATGAAACCATTGCTTGAAATGGACAGTTTCGCTTACTATCGTAGTTAGCTTGAGCGTTCCAGCTCCAATCATCCTTTCCAACAGTTCAGAGAATGGAGGACTCTCTACTGGCAGAAGGCCCTTCACAATGGGCTACTATGCATGCATTTTACATAACATAATAGCAATTTTCTTCTTAGCGGAGGCTTTGGCACTTTACTCGTCTAATGTTCTCATCCTAATTGCGATGCTTCGCTACCTTTTATACGTCAGCTTTCGACCGTAAAATAGATTAGACTTCGTCGATTGGCCGTAATTAGACCTCTACTTTGTCTCGTCAAGAGAGTGTTTTTGTTTGAAAGGAGCTAACATTAATTTTAATTTGATTTTCAGAGCTCATCTTTTTTGAGACTCTAATTTTCAGTATGTGTTCCCTTTCGCAACAAAAGTTAAAGTGGAAATTACATTTTTGGATGTATCAATACCAGGCTATCCCACGCATAGGTGTTGTCATTATCACTGGATGGATTGGCCTGATCGAGGAGTTCCACCTGCGGACATTGCACCTCTTTATCTACTACATAACTTCGAAACCACTAAGTACATCAATTTTTTTAAAGACAATTTTCATTTTCTGTTCCCTTCAAAAATATTGTGTAGACACACACTTCTGTGTCCTGTTTGTTGAGTAGTCTTTATCTGGTAGTCGGCAATTGGAGCCCAAAATTTCGACGACTTCGTGTTCATTAAAGGTCCTTAAATCACCGCTATGCGAGAAGTCCGCACCGTAAGTTGGCGGTTGTGGCTGGGAGTCTTCAATGCCAAGTTCAGTGCGAACTTCTCGCATAAGGGTGGTCTGCAGACGAAGGCGCTGAAACTTTGGGTTTCAATGTTCATTTTGATTCATTACGTTACAATTTCAGGGCCCCAATTATTATTCATTGTTCGGCGGGAATAGGAAGGACGGGTTCTATTGTATTACTACAACATGCAATGGAAATTTTACAAAATGGAGGGATTTTAGAAGAAATGCCTGTTTACTTGAAGCAGCTCAGAACTCAACGCAATAATAGCATACAAGTGAGTTGTAAGTGTTTTTACTATGCTTTACCCGACTGACATAAGGTATTTGAGATTTTTTGTAGTAAAATGTTCAAGTTGGTCTGTAGAATCCATTTTTAGACGGATCAACAGTACTTATACGTACACCAAGTGTTACTCACTTACTTTCGTCAGAATGGTTTCATTCCTGATTGCTTAAAATTGCTTATGGATGCTTTTACATCAGAATACAACTCAGCAACAAGCGGATTTTAATTTCAAACTGAAAACAAATGGTTTTTTGATAGAAATGTAAATTTACTAAGAGTGTCATACTTTCTTTCTTCATGTACTATGCATCTCTTCGCTACATATATATCATTCCTGTCCTAGCCGATTAATTAAAATAAACGACTAAATTTTCTGATTTTTTAAAGTTTTACTGAAGAAAGCAAAAAAATGTCTACAATGGTGTATAGGCATCTGAAAAAATAGTCGTTCTTGAGAAAAACAAAGCATAGTTCCCCAGAAACCGAGATTAAAAAATAATTAGATGTTTTTCACAAAAAAACCATATAATTGTACTCAGCTCATCTGGGATGGAAATCACAAATATTGAATTGAACTCCCTAGA